GAACCATCATTATATAACTACTCATTTTAACGATGGAGCATTGCTACGAAAGTATGTACATGCCAGAAACAAGTACAATTGTACTTTAAGATCTAAAAAATGAAATTACTATGGATCTGTATAAGATAAATTACTTACAAATCTGAATAACTCAAAATTGTTCTGGAACACCATGTGTAGGCTTTCTTCATCTAAGAATTCTATTCCCAACATAACAATGGACTCGTGGTATACACATTTCAAAAACATATTTCAACATACGGATACATTTAATGTCGAATTACATTCTATCGATCATGATATTGAAGAGAAGATAGATCAAGACAGCCCTAGTATACTTGACGCTCCTATTACAAGAGATGAGATCTGTGCAGCAATTACAGAACTAAAATCATCCAAGAGTGGTGGGCCTGATCATATCATAGCAGAATATTTTTTAAGTCCTCACAGGATATTTTAGTTCCCTATATTCAGTTGCTATTCAATGTTCTGTTTGATCGAGCATATTTTCCAGAATCATGGTGTATGGGTCTTATTGTACCTATTACATAAAAAAGGGGACACTAGTGTAGTAAACAATTACAGAGGTATATCAATTACAAGTATCTTCAGCAAGCTGTACATACACATTCTGAATAATAGACTAACATTTTGGTGCTCTTGCTATGAAAAAATTGTTGAATCGCAAGCAGGTTTTTGCAAAGGTTACAGCACTATTAATAACATTTTTATCCTACAGTCCGTTATTGAACGTTATGTCTCAAAAAAGAGAGGTAAAGTGTATGCATATTTCATAGACTTTTCCAAAGCCTTCGACTTCGTGAATAGGACAAAACTGTGGAATATTTTAAGGCTAAGAGGAGTAAGCAGCAAAATGCTTAAATCAATCCAAGCCCTCTATGCAAGTGTTAAAGCGTGTGTCAAATTTAATAATAATTTATCAACATGTTTTGATTGTCCATTGGGTCTACGACAAGGGTGTATCCTAAGCCCTCTTCTTTTTTCCATTCTTATCAATGAACTAGCTTATGAAATCGAAGCATGTTGCGTACCAGGAATTCAGCTTCATCCTGAACTTGTACAGTTATTTCTTCTTTTATTTGCTGATGATGTTGTGTTTATCTCTGATACAGTGTTTGGTTTACAGAAAAGACTTGATGTCCTAAAGATATTTTGTTCTGAGAATTGTTGACGGTAAATATGGAAAAAACAAAGGTAATAGTTTTTAAAAAAGGTGGAAGACTGTCAAAGTATGAAAAATGGTTCTATAATGGTGTACAAATAGAATGTGTTTCCTGGTACAAATATCTATGTATTTTGTTCAGTAGGTCATTAGTATGGACCAAACACATAGAAAATGTATGTCTGCAGGCTAAGCAAGTTTTATTTGGTATTTTTAGATCACTGTCAATGTTTAAGCCATTACCTTTTCACTTGTTCTTTAGATTTTCGACACCAAAGTTTGTCCAATTTTATTATACGGTGCAGAAATATGGGAATGAATGTTGTTAACGAAATAGAAGTTATACATGTAGCAGCTTGTAAACGATTTCTAGGAATTAAATCCTCTGTTTCAGCGCATGTTGTGCGAGGCAAATGTGGAAGATATCCATTGTATATTTATACCATCAAAAGGTCTATCAAATATTGGTGTAAAATATTGAAAATGTCAAATAAGCGATCTGTAAAGAAATGTTATAACATGCTTGTACAAATGGAAAGTAATAGTTGCAGGAGCTGGGCATCTAGGATAAAGCATATATTAGAAGTCTATGGATTTGGATTTGTTAGGCAAGAACAGATGGTTCGAAGTGAAACGCTATTTTTGAATGAATTTCTTGGTAGACTCAAAGTTTCGTATCAACAGGACTGGCATTCTGCACTTATAAAAGGCACAAAAACATTTGGATACACGTTGTTTAAACCTATGTTCGGTGTTGAATCTTATATCTTCATAGTTAGCTATTTTAAACATAGACATGCTCTTGCTCAGTTTAGATCGGGGTCTCATAAACTACGAATAGAAACTGGCAGGTATATTGGTGAGGCTAGAAATGACAGGTTATGTAATATCTGTAAATTGCCATATATAGAAGATGAATATCACTTCTTACTTATTTGTAATAAATATCAAGCATTGCGGCGGCTGTACATCCCTTTACACTTTTATGAATATCCAACAATCCAAAAAAAATTTAAGCGCAAGCATCCATTTATCAGCATATATATGTCATTTTCAAAATTGGTAGGCTTCTGCAATCATCAAATGCAAGCATCTTAAAACATTTATCAGCATATACACAGCTTTTACACCTATAATATCAATATGAAACTTGTGAATGAATTTAGGCTTTTGAATAAAACAAACTGTAGCTTCTAAAGGTAGAAAAACACACCTGTCTAGGTTGAAAATCACTTATAATCTAAAGAAAGAGTGCAATTGGGGAACGAAAATTGAATGAATAGTAGTACGGTTGTGACATTATTGGTAGCGGTCAGGACATCAGTGTAACAAACAAATGTTATCCCTCTAAAAGTTGCAAAAGATTAAATTCTGAAAGGTACTGCAACAACTATGATACTGTACACGTGGTCATGCTACACAGGCCACTGAATAGATGTCATTTTGCTGTTGATATTATGGTGCAATATTAGTCTCCACAAAATATACTTCTTTCATTCACTTTCGTATACCTTTACTTTTTGTTAATCGTGAGATGGTAACACATATTTATCAAATACAAAGGTTTGGCCAACATATTAGCACCTAGCAAATATTCAAAGTAAATGGTAGCCTTACATATCTCACAGTTAAAGTTAAAACAGTTTACACCCAAAAAATCTTTAAAGGTTGGAATACTGTTACCATAGATGTCCTAACCGTTACCTTTAATTTATAAAGACTACAGATCTTATAGAAAATAGAAACTTAGCGTGATAAATTTGTTTTGGTTTTATTATTTAAAGCAGATAGATAAGTAAATAAAAAATTTATCACACCATGGAACATATTCTTTAAAATTGAAATTTATTAAAGATATGTCCAGACCGTTACTATTATTTGTCCAAACCGTTACTAGAGACTGTGTTTTATGATACTACATCAAAACTCCTTTTGAACAGTAAAATTCCATGCTTAAACTTATCTTAACCCTTAAAGTAATTATAAATTTGTTATATTTCAAATAGTAATGACCAACTTTTTGAAATACAAATCATTTTGTCCAGACCGTTACAAGGACTGTCCAAACCGTTACTTTGCAGAATGGTAACGGTTTGGACAGTAACAATCAAGACAATTGTAAGTAAATCTAAAATAAAAAAATGAATGATCCCTAAAAGATTTCAAAGGACATGCCTTCCACCTCTTCCATTTCTAAGAATAACATATCCATTGAAATGTAAAAAACAAAGAGATATATTTGACACAAAATACATTAGTAGCGGTCTGGACAATTAAGGTTGACACATAACATTTATACTTATTTGATGGTGTCAATTTTCTGCAAAATGTGTTGAATTTCATTATTTCATTTGCTGTCACATCCACAGGGGCTAAGCTCAAGCAGAGACACAGGAAGTAGAATTACAATCCAGCTCCAGGGGAAATTATTGCAGGAATTTCATACACTGGTAAGCGGTCAGGACAAGCATGTTACAGTTTGTAGAAAAAACTTTTAAGTTTAAAAAATTAAATGCAGTTTGAGTATGCCTGTTCAATCCTAACTGGCACAATATGAATTAGTTTGTTTATTTGCATTTATGTTTACATTATTTGTGAACATTGATATTAGGACCGTCACCTCGGACAGAGCAAATCTGCCAATTTTGATCCTAAAATGTGGCTACATATAAAATTTCAAAATGACATGACTAATGATATACCTTACGTTTACTGACTAGTAAACTTCTAAATATGTTTTCTAGCACAAAAAAATCCTTTTTAAGTTAACAGATTTTTTTTATTGTGAACGACAGAAAATACTACCAATTTTGAAAATGACCCATATATCAAGCTATGTTACTGAGACAGTCTTCATTATAACATATTTTCTCACTCCGTAATTCTCAAAGTGTAACCTGGGCCTATGGCCTATATTACTTTTCTGAAATAAACCACCATAAACCACCATTACAGTTTTCAATGATTATTTTGAGAACAATTCTGAACTGGTTCAGTGAGCAGGTGGAATGTATATGTCAATGACTGTGTAATAGCAGTGAACCTTTTCGCTGAGAAAACCTTTATTTCTAGCCACAGCCTTCAGGCCGGAGGAACCTATTTGAACTCTGCCGTTGTAATGTTAGCAATGTCCTAGGCACTGTCATACAAGGAATGTTAAGTCCAGTCTCAGGTTCAATGACCATAATTTGTCTGACCAGCAGATCCTGTTCCTGGTCTGCTCTTCCAGAAGCTGTTCCACAGTTGTGTATCTTCCTGACCCTGCTTAGAGCTTGCACCAGATTGCAACATTGAACTGACATTTGTGTTTAAAACTGATAGCCATTTGCAGGGATGTTAATGAAAAGAGTTTTTGATCTTTCCTATTGAAAATGTCTGTTTGATTGTTATGAAGGGTGAAAAGAAAATCTTTAATTTTCCATTCCTCTAAGTTCAAGAAAAGACCATGATCCAGTAAATTAGAAATATTGATTAAATCATTTTGACTAAGGCCAGTATTGGTGTTGCTCATGGATATTGATGACTTAGCTGAACAGTAAATTATCTTCCAAGCAATCTTATCACCATGAATATCAGGGGTCTCGGCTGTCTTACACACTGATAGTCACTGCACAAAGATTGATTTATACTTATCTTCATTCTGATTCTGTCAGAGAAACGTGATGACTGGAATGACTTCAGTAAAATTCAGAATGTCAGCATAGGATATCAGTTACCATTAAACTTGAATGAGCTTGTACATGGTCTTGAGTTGATCAGTGTTGTGAACCTCTAGCTAATGGAAAGACTATGTTTAACTGTTGTGTTTCCTCTGCAGGGTCCAGTGGTGCGTTGTGAACTGTAGGTGGCGCTGTCAAGCAAATGGCTGTAGCCCAGAATGCTGCACACCTTACCAGGTGAGAACTGACCCATGTTAGATCTTTTGAAATTGTTTTAAATACAGTGATAAGTAGTGCTGGAGTGATTTATCGAATAATCAGTCAATCGGTCAATCTTGCTTCAGTCAGCATTTATCGAGGGCTTGGGAGACTAATTACAATTCATAAAAAATGAAACATTAAATTAAACTTTAGAAAGTATGTCTCTTATTGTTGTTTGTTAATTCAAGACAGAAAGAACTAAAGCTGCTGTTCAACTCATAAAACTGCAATGTAAACAACATACTCCCTAGGGGTGAAACAGTTACCGCTCTTACTACGGTACGGCACATATAGCCGTACAAGACCTTCGGTTCAGTCCATTTCGGGTCGGAATATGAGATATGATCATAATGCAGAAAATTGACAAGAGCCAAACCTAGCTAGATTTTGACAAAATGGTTTGATTTCTGGACATCTTAGAAAAGGGTTTAAAAAGGTTAATAAAATATTTGTACGAAAACCGAAAATACCAAATTTCTGGATTGCAATATGGTATACTGCACCGTAGGCAAAATATCGCGTTTCTACTAATACCACGGTATACCCTTTCACCTCTAATACTAGCATGTGTGTCTCAAAAAGAAGTTGTCTGATCATAGTATTAATCGGTGTCTGTTTCATTTCACAATGTTATGATTGTGTCCTGTTATTGCCCGCGTGAGGTTTGTGGTGGGGTTTACAAGTACAGACGATTACTGATCGAGTATTGACCTCTGATTATTGTGAGCGACATATATTGACAATTGATTATTTTGATACTTGCATTCTTTGGAATTGTTTCCACAACAAATGCAGAAAGTGGGTTTAAAATGTTTACAAGAGCTGGAAGGTCTCGCGTATTGCTTCTAATATTCCCATATATATGATGAACAGTATCTTTAGCTGAAGCTGTGATGTAGCTCTTCAGCCATAAAACATTACATAAATGGAATCTCTTTGAAAGACAGTGGTCTCTCATCGTTTCAGAATACCAAACATGGATCCCAACTATGAGCGTCCAAGGTCTGGGTTGGCTCGAGGTGTGCAGATCACCCAGTTGGAGGATTCTCGGACCAACCCAGAGCCGGTCAATCTGGAGGAGTCCGATTATCTCCTGGAGCAGTACCTGTCTCCAACCAAGCTGGTGAGTGTCTTCTCTCTCTCTCTGTCTCACACCAAACAGTTCAGCGTCACCCTTCTTTCTCAAGTCTAGATTGTTACTGTGTCCTCTGTCTCACACAAAGATTTGAGATGTCTCCGTTCTCCTAGTCTCTCTCAAAAGCTGGTCAGTGTGTCCTTTCTACTGGGCTTCCATTGAGTTTGTCAGTGTCTCATGTACAGCCGTGCAAAAAATAATCGGACACTTGACTTCTCCCATCAAGTTGGTCAGTGTCTCCTTTGCACTGCTCTCCCACCAAGCTGGTCAGTGTGTCGTTTCTACTGCTGTCCCATCAAGTTAGTCAGTGTCTTCTTTGCACTGCTGTCCCACCAAGCAGGTCAATGTGTCGTTTCAACTGCTGTCCCATCAAGTTGGTCAGTGTCTCCTCTGCACTGCTGTCCCACCAAGCTGGTCAGTGTGTCGTTTCTACTGCTGTCCCATCAAGTTGGTCAGTGTCTCCTTTGCACTGCTGTCCCACCAAGCTGGTCAGTGTGTCGTTTCTACTGCTCTCCCATCAAGTTGGTCAGTGTCTCCTTTGCACTGCTGTCCCACCAAGCTGGTCAGTGTGTTGTTTCTACTGCTGTCCCATCAAGCTGGTCAGTGTGTCCTTTCTACTGCTCTCCCACCAAGCTGGTCAGTGTGTCGTTTTCTACTGCTCTCCCACCAAGTTGGTCAGTGTGTCGTTTCTACTGCTCTCCCATCAAGTTGGTCAGTGTGTCCTTTCTACTGCTCTCCCACCAAGCTGGTCAGTGTGTTGTTTCTACTGCTGTCCCATCAAGTTGGTCAGTGTCTCCTTTGCACTGCTGTCCCTGTCCCCAAGCTGGTCAGTGTGTCGTTTCTACTGCTCTCCCATCAAGTTGGTCAGTGTGTGTCGTTTGCACTGCTTCCCACCTTGGTCACTGTTTCTACTGCTCTCCCACCAAGCTGGTCAGTGTGTCGTTTCTACTGCTCTCCCACCAAGCTGGTCAGTGTGTCGTTTCTACTGCTCTCCCATCAAGTTGGTCAGTGTCTCCTTTGCACTGCTCTCCCACCAAGCTGGTCAGTGTGTTGTTTCTACTGCTGTCCCATCAAGTTGGTCAGTGTCTCCTTTGCACTGCTCTCCCATCAAGCTTGGTCAGTGTGTCCCCTACTGCTCTCCCATCAAGCTGGTCAGTGTGTCGTTTCTACTGCTCTCCCACCAAGCTGGTCAGTGTGTCGTTTCTACTGCTCTCCCACCAAGCTGGTCAGTGTGTCGTTTCTACTGCTGTCCCACCAAGCTGGTCAGTGTGTCCTTTTCTACTGCTCTCCCATCAAGTTGGTCAGTGTCTCCTTTGCACTGCTCTCCCACCAAGCTGGTCAGTGTGTCGTTTCTACTGCTGTCCCATCAAGTTGGTCAGTGTCTCCTTTGCACTGCTGTCCCACCAAGCTGGTCAGTGTGTCGTTTCTACTGCTCTCCCATCAAGTTGGTCAGTGTCTCGTTGCACTGCTGTCCCACCAAGCTGGTCAGTGTGTCGTTTCTACTGCTCTCCCACCAAGCTGGTCAGTGTGTCGTTTCTACTGCTCTCCCATCAAGTTGGTCAGTGTCTCCTTTGCACTGCTCTCCCACCAAGCTGGTCAGTGTGTCGTTTCTACTGCTCTCCCACCAAGCTGGTCAGTGTGTCGTTTCTACTGCTCTCCCATCAAGTTGGTCAGTGTGTCCTTTGCACTGCTCTCCCACCAAGCTGGTCAGTGTGTTGTTTCTACTGCTGTCCCATCAAGTTGGTCAGTGTGTCCTTTCTACTGCTGTCCCACCAAGCTGGTCAGTGTGTCGTTTCTACTGCTCTCCCATCAAGTTGGTCAGTGTCTCCTTTGCACTGCTCTCCCACCAAGCTGGTCAGTGTGTCGTTTCTACTGCTCTCCCACCAAGCTGGTCAGTGTGTCGTTTCTACTGCTGTCCCACCAAGCTGGTCAGTGTGTCGTTTCTACTGCTCTCCCATCAAGCTGGTCAGTGTGTCGTTTCTACTGCTCTCCCACCAAGCTGGTCAGTGTGTCGTTTCTACTGCTCTCCCATCAAGTTGGTCAGTGTGTCGTTTCTACTGCTCTCCCATCAAGCTGGTCAGTGTGTCGTTTCTACTGCTCTCCCACCAAGCTGGTCAGTGTCTCCTTTGCACTGCTGTCCCACCAAGCTGGTCAGTGTGTCGTTTCTACTGCTCTCCCACCAAGCTGGTCAGTGTGTCGTTTCTACTGCTCTCCCATCAAGTTGGTCAGTGTCTCCTTTGCACTGCTCTCCCACCAAGCTGGTCAGTGTGTTGTTTCTACTGCTGTCCCATCAAGTTAGTCAGTGTCTCCTTTGCACTGCTGTCCCTCCAAGCTGGTCAGTGTGTCGTTTCTACTGCTCTCCCACCAAGCTGGTCAGTGTGTCGTTTCTACTGCTCTCCCACCAAGCTGGTCAGTGTGTCGTTTCTACTGCTCTCCCATCAAGCTGGTCAGTGTGTCGTTTCTACTGCTCTCCCACCAAGCTGGTCAGTGTGTCGTTTCTACTGCTCTCCCATCAAGCTGGTCAGTGTGTCGTTTCTACTGCTCTCCCATCAAGTTGGTCAGTGTGTCGTTTCTACTGCTCTCCCACCAAGCTGGTCAGTGTGTCGTTTCTACTGCTCTCCCACCAAGCTGGTCAGTGTGTCGTTTCTACTGCTGTCCCATCAAGTTGGTCAGTGTCTCCTTTGCACTGCTCTCCCACCAAGCTGGTCAGTGTGTCGTTTCTACTGCTCTCCCACCAAGCTGGTCAGTGTGTTGTTTCTACTGCTCTCCCATCAAGTTGGTCAGTGTCAAGCAGGTCCTGTTGCATTTGGTCAGTCCCACCAAGCTGGTCAGTGTCTCGTTTCTACTGCTCTCCCACCAAGCTGGTCAGTGTCTTGTTTCTACTGCTCTCCCACCAAGTTGGTCAGTGTGTCGTTTCTACTGCTGTCCCACCAAGCTGGTCAGTGTGTCGTTTCTACTGCTCTCCCACCAAGCTGGTCAGTGTCTCCTTTGCACTGCTCTCCCACCAAGCTGGTCAGTGTGTCGTTTCTACTGCTGTCCCACCAAGCTGGTCAGTGTCTCCTTTGCACTGCTCTCCCACCAAGCTGGTCAGTGTGTCGTTTCTACTGCTCTCCCATCAAGTTGGTCAGTGTCTCATGTACCTGTCTCCCACCAAGCTGGTCAGTGTCTCCCTTTCTACTGCTCTCCCACCAAGCTGGTCAGTGTGTGGTCTGTCTCCATTACTGCAGTGTCTCCCACCAAGCTGGTCAGTGTCTCCTGTCTTGCACTGCTCTCCCACCAAGCTGGTCAGTGTGTCGTTTCTACTGCTCTCCCATCAAGTTGGTCAGTGTCTCATGTACCTGTCTCCCACCAAGCTGGTCAGTGTCTCCTTTGCACTGCTCTCCCACCAAGCTGGTCAGTGTGTCGTTTCTACTGCTCTCCCATCAAGTTGGTCAGTGTCTCCTTTGCACTGCTCTCCCACCAATCTGGTCAGTGTGTCCTTTCTGCTGCTCTCCCATCAAGTTGGTCAGTGTCTCCTTTCTACTAATCTCCCATCAGGTTGGTCAGTGTCTCATGTACCTGTCTCCCACCAAGATGGTCAGTGTCTCCCTACACCTGTCTCCCATTAAGTTGGTCAGTGTCTCCTTTGAACCTGTCTCCCAAGTCGGTCAGTGTCTCCCTACACCTGTCTGCCATTAAGTAGGTCAGTGTCTCATGTTCCTGTCTCCCACCAAGGTGGTCAGTGTCTCCCTACACCTGTTTCCCATTAAGTTGGTCAGTGTCTCTGTTGACCCTTGTCTTCCAAGTCGGTCAGTGTCTCATGTACCTGTCTCCCACCATGTTGGTCAGTGTCTCCCTACACCTGCCTCCCACCAAGTCGGTCAGTGTCTCCCTACACCTGTCTGCCATTAAGTAGGTCAGTGTCTCATGTACCTGTCTCCCACCAAGTCGGTCAGTGTCTCCCTACACCTGTCTGCCATTAAGTAGGTCAGTGTCTCATGCACCTGTCTCCCAAGTCGGTCAGTGTCTCCCTACACCTGTCTGCCATTAAGTTGGTCAGTGTCTCATGTACCTGTCTCCCACCATGTTGGACAGTGTCACCTTTCTCCTAGTCTCCTACCAAGTAGGTAAGTGTCTTTCCAGTATTTACCTTTCCAAGTCAATCATCTTACAGTTAATTTACAACCTACCTAACACACAGTATATCAAGCAACCCAACAACTTGCCCTTCAACCATCATCTTGTGTATTTTGGAAACAGTGGTGTTCATAAGTAGCCATCAGCTGCTAGTCTGGGTTTGAATCTTGGATACACCCAGTCATTGGAGGTACCATCATTGTCCAGAGTAGTATTAGCCTCTATCAACCTGCGCTTGCGCGTTAAGATTTGACAAGACAGACATTGAGGTCAAGCTTGCTGATGGAGTGTCATTGTATCTCATCAGTGTGTTTTGTTGTGCATAATATCAATCACAGGATTGTCTGGTCCAAACACGATTATTTACATTTTACATTGAGTGCAGCAGTAAAATGAAGCAGCAGACACTTGACGGTGTAGAGTTTGGAAGTATATTTGCACCATGTTTTTCACATGCGGTACTGATACCAGAATACATGATGGCAGACATTTCGATGAAAGTTTATAAGAAAAGATGTCAAAAGATATCAGTTTCCAGGCTCAATTTAGCCACATAAAGTTTGCACCAGTGCACCAACTATTGCGAACTGGAACCTAGGTGTGCATGCAAAACGTGCATGTAAAAAGTCATTGATCTTGGAACACACTCAGTACCTCTAAGCCTTATTTACCGTACTTAATCTCTAAACTCTGTGTAGTTAATGACATATAACAGTTTACTTATATAGACAAGTTTATGCATCTGTATAAACTCAATTCTAGTGAAACCTGGCTTTATCTGGGGCAGCTTGCCTTTCATGTCGACATGCACCTTGTGCAGGTTAAACCTGGGCTGCATTTACAAAGCAATCATAGGGCTACGATTATCGTAA